AAATATCATTCATTATCGGGATATTTTATTGTATTTTTTTAAAAAAGGTGAGCATGCTGCAGAAGCTCATAGAAAAATTTGCAGTGTTTATGGGGATGATACCTTAACCGAACGCACCTGTCAAAATTGTTTTGCCAAATTTCATTCAGGAAATTTTGACATGAATGATGCTCAGCCCAAATGAAATTGAAATGAGCAATGTTAAGGCCATTTGTTATCAAAATCCCACCCAATCATTGCGAGATATTGCTGTGGCCCTAAATATTTCACGCACAAGCGTAGAAAAGCATTTGCACAAGCTCGGCTGTTTACAGGCTTAATGTTTGGGTCAGATGATTTTTTCGAAAATCAAAAGAAAATGTTATAACTTCAATGCGACTTTGGACAAAGCGTTCTTGTATATTTATTTTAATTTTTTTCTCCACAAGCTTATAGTTTTCAATTCTCAAAGTTTAGTATTTCTATTTGATATTTATTTAGTATTATAATAGTTCTAAGTCATAGTTAAGACTTCTTTATTTAAAAATATAATATACATAACTTTTGGTTTAATAGATTCTGACGGTTTATGATCGGAGATAGAAGTTGTTTCTCGGGGTTCTATCCCGGAACACGCAATGTCAGTACTTCATTCTTCCTCGGAGAAGGGTGAATTAGAAGTAAAATATATCTATTTGATCTTATTGTTAGATACCCACAGAGTTTTTTTAGTTATTATTCTTTAATCTTATTTATTATTAAGTAATTGTAACAATTTACCTATGTTTGGGATTCCAAACTACCAAGATTTAAGTAGACTCTTGCGAAAAATCAGTTTAAAAATAAAACCAAATTGCGTTATTCTTCTAGAAAAAAAATAACTTGTAATATAGTTACAAAAAAATTATTAAATAAAATATTTTATTTAATGTATAATTAAAATTGTTCGTATGTTGATCAAATCTTGATTGAGACCAACTGTTCAATAAAGATCCTGCAGCGACATATGGTGTATACATACATTATATATATATATATATATATATATATATATATATATATAATACTTCCTAAATTTAATTAATTACAAACTATTAACTAATATAAACTGATATTCGGTTCTGACAACTTATACATTGAAATTCTGAACATTTTTTATAAAATACTGTTCCTGTATTCAACAAACTCTCATTGTAAATGCCATCTCTCGGAGTTGTGTGACATTAAACTTCAAGTTAACGCTGGTCTATAGACAGTCATTCAGCCCACTGGACCAACACAGAAACAAAGCGACGTATTGTCCTTGTTACAACAATACTCAAATAATCCTTTGTTTAAAGTTGAAACCGATGAAATTATTATTAAATGGGATTCTAATAAGGAAAACAAAGCCCTCTTTTTCGAAAACTGTTGTACAGTCTCTAAATATATACTGTTCAAAACTTTATTTGTTTGTTATATTCCGAAAATCTGGTGTAGATTTTAGACCACAATTATATTATTTATTACTCAATAATAATAATAAACTGTTCACTGGTAGCCTCGTAATAATATTTTTATTTATTATGATAATAGATTTATTATATTGCAGTAAAGGGTCTCAATTTAATATATAAGGTAAAAATTATCAATTGGGTTAAAAAAAAATTTACAAGTTAATATTTATTAGTAACATAATTAAAATTAATGTTAATTGGTGCTAAGCACATAGCACCAAAAAGGAGTAAAAATCAATTTTATCTCCACTCGAAGGATTACAGCCTCAAATTTGGATAGTCCGACAGAGATGCCACGAGTTATGTTTTATTCCGACTACGAGATCGCAGAAATGTTTTAGCCAGACAAGTATGCCGTGAAAAAAAAAAATTTGAGAATTGTTGTTTCAGAGGATTTGAAGGGTGCTTTCTCAAGAAAAATATACATATTTTTTTAAATAGTGGTTTGATGATTGACGTTAGTGAATAATTGAAGAGAGCTTGGTTGGAGTGTTCAGTCAAAAATACAAAGTAAAAATAAACAAATGATATTTGTTTTAATTTTGGCCAACGTTTCAGCTCCAAGTTCAGGCCTTCATCAAGGGGAAGGAAAGACTTTTCTTAAGACGAAAGCTTAAATTTTGGGCCATAACGTCGGCAAAAAAAAGTTTTATTTATTTATTTTTACTTCGTAGTTTTGACTAAAAACCCAAACCAACTTTTCTTCAAATATATATATATATATATATATATATATATATATATATATATATATATATATATATATATGCCATATATATATATATATATATATATATATATATATGGCATATTATTTATAAACGGAGCACCAAGGACATTGTGGATTTTTTAAATTTAACTTTGTGTTAGTTTTTTCTTTATGATTTAAAAAAAAGGTTGTACGGTATTACTCCGAACATGCAAGTTGCAATATTTAAAAAAAAATAAGTTTTTACCTCGCCTTCTTTCCTGTCACCCAAGCGAAATAAAAATCTATGAAACTTTAAAATTTGTTATTTAAATATTAATTAAGAGTAAAACACAGTTCAGGTGTATAACTGTGGTAACTACAAAATGAAAATAAATCATTATATTCTTGCATTATTCAACTACTAATGGATTGCTCATTCCAACTAAATATGTGACGTCCTTCAAGACACCGACTGCCGTCATGCTTTGACAAAGAGACGCGGTCCTTCCTCATTAGGCCTATCGATTTATGAAAATGATGGACCGATGGGCAGGTCCCTTGTCAACATTTACCCATTTCGAGCCTTGGCCGTGTTGGTTTAGCCCGAGGAGGATTAGGACCTGCTACGTCGCCTTCCCTCCTGGCACCCAACAGCCTAGATTACCGGCTGACCATCCTCACCTCACACCTCCCAGACGCCGTGTTTAACCGTGTCCCAAGGGGGATCTAACTATATTGAAAGGTCGGCAAACATGGGATCACAGTTTTATAGCCTGTTTGTACTGACGTTTACTTTAGGCAAAGTGAGCCCCCGGGTGGCGGTGCGGGCACGAACTCTCCTTCTTCCGCTCCTTCCTCTATCGACCCTCTGCCTCTTCCCCTTTCGTCATCACGGGCTCTTATCATTCCCGATTTTGTTTTGTTTAATTATATCGCCGCTGTTGATACTTTCTGATTGCATAATCGAGTAATCCGTAGATGATATTCTCAATTGGACGAACGTTTCTTTGCTGAAAAATAAATAAATATATCAATAATATTCCGATACTCATAATCTCTGCCTTAATACTTCCACCCACAACTCCGCAAGACCATCCTCAACGCAATCCTTTTACCTACGTTTCGCTCTTGCTCTCAGAAGTTTACCAGTCGGCTCAGCGTATTATAACCTTTCAGAATTTCGTACGTTCAAAAACTTACAAATATGAAATTTCTCTACCTTAGTTAGCGGGTGAGCTAAACTTATGCCATTGTGTTAATTAAAGGAAGCGATTTGTCAAACGATTGTGTAGAAAAAAAATAGATTTAATTCTATAACACATATGAAATTATTCAATCGCAGAGATGGTTAAGAACATTCTTGAGTCTAGCGACGCCGATCCTAATGCGGCATATGCTGTTTAAAATTTTTTTTCGGAGACCCACAGAATGAATCCCGATATTCCCACTCTGTTTAGAATTGGTTATACCTCAGAACAGCTTTTTCACTACCTCCCTTTCATTACCTCAATCAACAAAATAATAAGGTAATTCATATTAAAAATCCTTGAAATTGGTCTATTATTATTTCCTTCGCATAACAGAATAGATTCGTATCCTACCAAATTTATAGGTCTATCAGGCACCAGTTTCGCTGCTTCACTCGATGGTAGAGTCCTTGTCACATGGAGTACTCGGTTCATTAGAACAGTAGTGGACCTCCTCCTACTGAATGGGAGCTACCCCTCAAAGAAAACTCGTTACAGGAGGGAGCTCTCTCCTTGTGAGACTTGCGGCCATTTGTAATTAGCGGGCCACCTACAGGTTATTCACTCGCTCTACATTAAATACAAAAAGGCGCTGAGGATAAAGCTCTAACGTCCACAGTGGCCCGTACCCTCCCTTTGTGGGCCCTGGATGAGAGATTTGAATAAACCATGTGGGCCTCCCCCTCTCTCAGTAGCTATTGTTCTCTCTCAGCATAACCGGGGCGGGTAATCACCAGACTTTTTTTTCATAACCCTCTAATTTATATTCTTTTAAATTCTCTTGATGGAGTCCTCAAATCCTGAGTGTGAGCCTTTCTTCCACGCTCTTTTCCTTTCATGGTCGTGTATACTGCCTGTTGACATCTTTAGCATTTGCGTCTTGTTTATTTGGATGAGTTGTATTGCTACTCCATAATATTCCAAAAATAAATAAAAATAATAATAAATTGTTACTTGGTATCTCTGTTGGATTACATATTTCAATATGCATTTCATGTATTGAGGTCCTGTTTTCACTTATCAAGCTGAAATATCTATTAAGTTCAACAACACCGTGATGTACATAGTACATAGTATTAAGTATAACATCAATTATTAATAATGAACATATCATAATCGAGTTGTATGGGAATGATTCCGAATTCTTAAATCACACAAATCAGGATTTTAGTTTGGATTCGTCTAGTAAACCTTAAGAAATAATTATCCAAACATCTGAGAAACTTTATATTAAATTTGTAATGTTTATTGTTGTGTATAGCCTTGCACGCAAATGATCTCATACTACAAAGACATTTACAAGCTCATCGAACATTAACATCATTGAATGTGAATGTGGATATAAATAAGGATATGGCCACCGGACAAACAAGCCTTGTCTTACATATTGCAGTTAAATCTAAGGTCGTGTAAGACTCACAACTGTTGTAAGATGCTTAGCGTGATAGCGTTACATGGTTTACAAATTGCCAATGTCCCAACATACTATTTCATGTATTCATACTTAGTCTCGATTCCTTATTAGTTTCTGTATCATCTATATATTTCGTTTTGTGATTTTACTAATACTGCCATTTCTTTGCTCAGGTTATAGAGGGTAACAAGAACACCTACCTGGGAGCCAAGAGGGACCTGGATCCTCCGATTTGGGCAAGCAAGATCAGGTTCTACCCGTACAGCTTCCACCGTCGGACGGTTTGCATGCGGGTGGAAATTTATGGATGCTACTGGAATGGTGAGTACACATTTAACGATATAAACTATTTCCTGTGGGTGCCACTAATCTTTATTTTCTTCTCAATGAAACTTCTCTTAAATATCATAAACTGTCCTTTTGTTATAAGTGCTGTTATTTATGTGTTTAACGAAGTATGGGTGAGAAAAGAATGATATTTTTTTCAGCCATACGTTTGGTAATTATTCCAAATGCAATATATTTAATTTTAGTAATAATGACCATGTGATTTGCATTTAATATTTTTATTTTATTTCTGTACATTTTTGTTACACTTTCTGACTTTCTGTGTTACACTGTGGCCTCGAAGAATCGTGTTAGATTCGATCTACAAGATGTTGCGATCGGTTCAGTGATAATAGATATAAGGAAAGGAATGTTATAATCTTGAAGCTAAATTGGACTTTTGGAGAATAATAATGCAGTATCTATAAAGAAACTACTTTTTAATTGCAAATATTTTCTCGATATTAATAAAGTTTTCATTCTAGCGCAAATCCACATTGTTGCTCGATCCCTGACCTCTTATCCTTCATATAGTTTCGTTTCACACATTGCTAGAACTAATGCTTTGAATACATCTATTTTCTTTTTAATTTTTTATAATTAAGATTATTATTATTATTGTTCTCTAATAATATACACGAATTCATACCATTTATTTTCTTTTTATGCTAATTCTCTTTTTTGATGGCTTTATTCGATACACAAAGAAAATTTGCATACAGAATCCTCAACACCTGCTTTCCAATTATTAAAGCTAAAGAAAAAACTCCAATTCCGATCCTGACAGAATTTTACAGTAACATTTGTCCGAAATCCCTTCAAAGTGAATTGTTTAAAGCTTAACTCTCTGAGTCTGCCTTTTTATATTTCTTTTTTTTTTAGTGTGAAAGCGTGACCATTTTTCCTTTTTCAAGACCATAAAGGTGTATTTTCAAATGCAGAGTTTTATAAAGTATAGTTGTATTCTTTTTACGGAACGGATATTTTATTATTATTTTAAACTTTGCCATTATTGGTTAAAACGTTTGTACTTTGTACATTTGTGTGGATAATTGTTTCTTACGAGTAATTCATTTCTTACTGTGAATATTTTTGCGAAATTTTACTAACTAATATTTTTATTTCCTTGATAGGGTGGTATTGTTTTTTTTTTTAACGAAATATAGTTCTTCTTATAAAGAAGTTCAGGAATTTTCTTTGTAATGTTAATTTATGATATTATTAGATATATACAGATTTTTTTTTTCTCTACCCTAAATCTTCTTTTCGGTATCCGGGGTTTTTCCTGGGTCTGGAGAGAAGGTGGAGGATTTATGCCAGAGGTAAAAGCCCCTCGAGTCTGGGATTTGAACTCGTAATCTTCAATTTATCAGGTGGGCGAACAATCCATGTTTTGCACACGCGTTAGCCTGCTCGCCCACCCCGCCTCCTTAGGTATACTCAACAAAATATATTTCCAATGTTTTTGTTATATTTTTTTTTTCTTTCAGAATTCATTTTCTGTCTTCGTAAATTTTTTTTGGATGTTCATATTTCCATCTCCTCATTTAAATTCATTCATTACTTTAAGATCAACGGAAGACCATTTTTAGTACAAACCATTTTAAAATGAAGGTTTTGTTAAATTTTTTAATCTGATTTATCCAAATTGTCTTAAATAACATAAATACTCTCAGAATATTTTACATAGATTCGTGGATTTGTGCCTCCTTCATTACTAAGGCCTTACTTTATGGCACCCTCATCTGTAACTTTGAGGCTCCTGAAGGCCCTTGGATACACAGCCTTCCTTTCGAGTAATCTAGCCTACTTATTGCAGTTATTAAACCCTTAAGGGATCTCCTCTTGACTAATATCATCTCCAGTGTGGTATTTAATGCTCCCTAATATTTAGCCCTACCTGAATTCCTTTACTAATTTCAGCTATGAATTCTCAAGTGCGCGGAGTCTGTTTTACAATCTGAGAACAATTACCCCGTTATTAACGGATATTTCTGCAATTAGCTGGGCCAATTCGCTAGCTACCTTCCACTAAGCCAAGGAATTCCATGGGATCTCATAACTCAACCTTTATAGAGTTTTGTTTCGTGATATCATTTATGATTTCCAGTAATTTTACTCTCAAATTTTTTTAAAGATAAAGAGTATGAAACAGCATTTCGTTTTACAATGACGGAATATTAAATGTATCGAGAACCGTCATTATGTCCTGAAAAGAACTCTCATAAATATTCTCATATAATATTGATTTCTATCCTTTTTTTAGGACCTATATTTCAACTGTCTTTTTATAAAATATCTTTAGCTTTATTTAAAAATATTTGATGTGTAACGTTATGTTTAAAATTCGTGCCAAATGCATAATTAGGATGTGGTTTAGGTTTATTTTTAAACATTTGTAAAATTTTCTATAAATTTTCCTGTGCAAATTTTAGTGTATAATCAATTTTTGAAATTATTATGAGATGTACAAAATTTGATTCGTATCTGTCACTTCAAAAAATATAATAAAATAATTATATTTAGAAAACGATATTTAGATATATTATCATGGGACATCGAGTTCGTTTGTGAAGATCTATCTGTACCATATTAGGTTTATCCAAATAATTGAATTTGATAAATCTAGTATCCTTTTTCCCCCCAAAAAATTATAGGATCATTTATAAATTTGGTTTATATCAATCGTTAATTGGAGCAAAAAGAAAATAGAAATCAAGGATTTAATTATGTTATGAGTCATAAATTGATTTCAAGTTCTTACAGAAATAATATATTGTATCACTTATTTTTGTTAAAATGTGTATTTTTTATATTTTCCTTATGTTAATTAATTGTATAATTTCACCCATCAAAATACTTCACTGCTTTTATGCCGTTTTCAAAAACTAGTATCCAAGAATTCATAAAATGGAGTAGAAACAATTCAGATCTTTAAAATCAAAAGTAAAGAATAAGTGATCATGTATATATTTTATTTGATTTATTATAATAACTGAAAGATACTATATTCTTTATTGAAATACATATTGTGATGATAAACATATACATATTGTGGCAAGGATGAGGATTGGTCATACTAACCTGACTCATCTCCAGTTAATAACAAAAGAGGGCCAACCATATTGCGATACCTGCCAGTCCCCGCTAACCATAAAGCATATAATAGAAGATGGAACATTACTACATTAAGTCTTTGTAAAAAAGAAAATACTCCGTTGTCGAGAACTGGCATTAAAAGACTCAGTAAATTCAATAGAAAATATTATACAACTTTTAAAACAAATACAATTGTACCATATAATATAATAATTAATGAAATACATAAAAATAATTTTTTTTTTTCATTCAGAAAGATAAGTTAGAAATAATAGCATCATAGCTCAAGGGCGTAATAACCAAGCTGTTTATCGCCTAGGATAACTCGTAACCTAACCTAACATATGATGTAATTATTATCGCTATTATTATTTCCTAAAATTTTAATTAAATTATTGATTTTTTTTTAGAAGACTAAAATATATTTTTTTGTCTTTTAATTTATGTTTTTGTGGAACATGATAATGTGTTGAAGGAAGTTTTAAATATAAAAGTTGTGATTCTGTTATATTAATTATTAATTAATTTTAATTGTTACTTCATCTCCCAACTATAATGGGGTATTGCTATCTGAATATATTTTAAAATTCTTCAGGCATCTCTGAAGCATAAAAAAATAAATTAATAAAATGTATGGTTATTTATTACAAATAAAAATTATTAAATAACTAGTTTTTCTAATTTATATTTAAATTAAGTTGTGAAGGAGTGGTGCTTGAAACACTAAAGTGTACTTTAAAGGACGAATGAAGCTGAAGGTGGGTTTTATTGAAAAATCTTTGAATCCTTGAAGGAGCTATTGAAGAGAGTCAAATCTCAACCCAGGTCTTTCACTAACCCTGTCTCGGTTATTCCCTTTTCCTTTCACAAACTTTACCTCATATTAGACTTATCTTCTTTGCTATATTCAAACTTGCGTTTTGTACTGTGTAATTATTCTTTTTTCTTCCTCACTACCGAAGGTAGGAAAGCATTATATTTTGTAAAGTGCTTCTGTTTGCGTGTTTCTGGAATATATTCGTGAGCAACTACTTATTTCTTACATATTATAAATTTCCAGAAAATGATGACTAATATAAAACTGTAATTAATGGAAACTTTAGTTTCGAACAAAAAAAAAATAAATTAATTAAAATTCACATTCGTTTCAGAAGATATTTTGATTAGTAATAACTGAATTAAAAATAAATTATAAAATTATTATTTTAATCTATGATTTTTTTTTACCTTAAAAGAAAACATATAAGATAAATAAATCTTTATTGGCAAATCATAATGCTATTTTAAATGATAAATAAATTTATAAGATATATTTTTAATCTAATCCTAACCTATATTCACTGACCAATACAGCCAATTAGCAGCCAGGGGCTTTGCAGTCGATAAGATCGGACAGAGTCCGAACCAATTACTTCACGAAGGGATGATATTAGCAACACGATATAACTTCATGGTTTTCCCTCTGACTCTCAGAATCTTTTAGTTGAGTTTCTGAGACTTAGAAACAAAATCATAACGCATTAACGATTCAATATGACATACAGACGATCCTTAATATATAAATTTATATCACAATTCGCTTGTATTTATTTATTACTATGATAATGCATAAGGTTGCGTTATTTTTCGATGATTTTTTATTGTAAATGCATTGAACTTAAGAAAATGTAAGAATCAAAAGTTTTTCAGTGGTCCAAAGTAAATCTTTTTTGTTTTTTGACTTTTAATATGAAAACTAACTAAAATATTAGACATAACGGCTAGTAAAGATAGAAATAGAAATAGAAAAATTAACTTTATTCTGGGACTAAGCCACCTTAGAATAACAATAAAGAACAAATAACAAAAAAATACATATCTGACCAATAAACTAACTTAATAAAAATTCTAACTAGGTATATAAATATAACAAAACCTTTTTATCGTTTGAAACCGCAGTTAAGGTTAGTCAACACTAATGGAGGCCGTAGCAATTCTTTACGTTACGGTATTTTTATTCATAACTAAATACACCCACCCATTTACATACATACATTAAACTTAATTTTTAAATTTTCGTAACTTAAGTAATTAAATATTAATTAATTTTTGAGCTGGACTAATAAATACCTCGCGAAAATGTTCTCGGAATTCTGGCACTATCAATCTGGTGGTCGGCAAACTTTGTCTGTTTAATTAGGTACTAAAAACTTGTAAATACCCATTTGCTTTCCACTTGGATCTTAAGATACTTGGATCACAAAATCGATCAAAAAGGTGGCCTACAAAAATATTGGGCCGTTTGGCTTATATAACCTCGTTATTTTGACATTTTGGGAGTCCAGGTCAAGCTAAACGGCCCAATATTTTTGTAGGCCATCTTTTTTTATCGATTTTGTGATCAAATTATCCTACGATTATCAAATTATCCTAAGTGGAAAACAAATGGTGGAGTTTTTAGTACCTAATTAAATAGACAACCCTTGCCGACCTTGATTGAAAACGACTCAATTCCGGGAATTTTCGTAAATAAAGTATTCTTTGTGATTTGGCAATGATTACTTCCAATTAGCAACAATTTAATTTATTTTTTGTATTATTAAAATTGCATGTTTATACGTTTTTGTTTCGGGATATTTACTCCCATCTTCAGAACCATAATTCCAATGATCTTGTGGATACATGTCTTAAATCTAATATGCTCCATCGTCAGTTTCTATTTCATGTTACAATAAATCTAGGTATATAACATCTAGACCAACATCTTGCTTTTACACTAATTATTGGGTGTCTGCCCCGTAAATAAATTAGTTGCAGGTTAAGATGAGATAAAGCCATTCACGAAGTTTTAGCCGAATGTTAATAATTTGATAAAAGGGGGTCTGTACCACGTCCTACTCCTATCTCGTTCTATATCGCTCTTACCAGTTACTACTGCTAGGTTGTCACAGATAAAGACTTTCATGAAACTGTGCTCAGATCTTTGTAGATCCTTATGTAGAGCCAACAACTCTGGCTTACTTTTGCTGAAGATTTGCCCTACCCAACGTCTACATTAGGTTGTTATTAGAGCTGCGGGAGTAGCGAGCTCGGAAGAGTTCCCTATAAGGAGGAGTGAGGTGTTTGCCAGCCGTGCCCATCGTGAGCTCTTCCAGATCACGACCGACAAGTCTTATATGGCATCTGGGGCTGCGACCATGGCCTCTAGAGGTATTCGCCTCGTCGTCTGCACAGCCCTTTGTTCTCAATGTCTTCATAATACTTGCATTCTTCTTGCTATATTTGAAAACGTGATTTGGAAGTATTTAGGCTGAACTACAAACTTTTTCGGGTAGGTATGAAGTCAGAACATAAATTATACATAGGGAGCATCCATGCACAGCATTAAATGTATGCCCTCACTTATTGGAAACAAGATATATGACGCTGTCCAAATCGGAATTCTATCAGGCTACAAGATCTCTAATGATGGAAGCCGAGAAAGAACTAAGATAGACATACTTTAATAAGTAAATGAATTAAGATATATTACTATTTATATAAATACGATATAATTTATAAATTATATATTTCCTATATAAATAAATAAATTTCCGGAACTGACAATGTAACGCTGCCCTAACATTCCCACTGTAGGCTTTTCTTCGAGACCTAACCTTCAGATATTGTGGATGGTTTGCTCGTCCGTACAACTTGTCCGTTCATATAAAATTAATGGAGCTGATCTGGCGATAGTATATGTCTGAAGCTCATTGCAAGGGTGCTGGACCGATGACTGTATATTAGAACGATTTTCTGAACTCTGCGGTAATCGGCTAATCGCTTAAATCCAGTACCAATGGAAAACTATTTAGGCTCAGTTTAGGAACGACATGTTCGATTATATAGCGAGTAGTTAAGAGGGAAAACTCATAGGAAAAACGTCTGCCAGTAATTCATGTATTTTTGACAAATTCCATACCCTTATTTGTCTTATTAAAATTAATGAGTTTCTGTGAAAAATTCAAATCCTAATTAAATTGTGAAATATGCTAAACTATGAACTTTTTATTATATTTCTGAATCCAAATCTACTAGATAGGAAACAATACTTGGGATATTCCTGAATGTTTAAATTTCAGCTTTTATATTCTTTAATGCGGCCGTGGTGCAGCTTTTAAAAAAAGGAATTAAGCTTCGAATGTGAAGTAATCTACGATTGATTTTTTCTCTTAACATAAGTTGACCCAACTTTAATCATAATTTTAGAGCTGTATTTTTTTTTTCATTTCTGAAGACTGGACTTTCCTTTTATCAAATTAAAATTTTGATAAAATATTCGAACATATATGAGTCCACGTCCACGTCCAGTGTAGTTTACCTTTCAGTTATTGTTTCAATCTCTAAAATATTGCTTCTTCATTATATTTATCGGTATACATCGCAATGAGAGTATGAATAAGTACGAATATGAACATACTATAAGATATATCTTGAAAACGGTCGTTCACCATCCGTTAAGAATATTAAAAATCTGTTTGGTATAGTTTGTTATAACTTTCAGATGTAGGAACAAAAGGAATGATGATTTTAAGACAGAAAACCAACAAGTTTTGCCATAACAACTTGCTTATGTGTAATTCTTATAGAATTTCGATTCCTTGGGTTCAATTTAAATTTACTAGAACATGAATAGCCAGTACGGGCAACCATTACTTCTCGCTGTATATGGAAACTTGAACCGACCTTTTGTTCTCGTGTCCAAAAGGTGTGCCAACAGAGCTCCATTTTTTCCCCCCAGTCGTCCATTAATTTGAATGCATTTCCGTAGATCGTGCGGCAATTCTTCATAAAACCGAACGGACAAAGAAAATAAGGCTATTTTTTCATGAAAGACATGACCTTTTTACAAAGCCTCCTTTAGAAACCCCAACATAAGAACGTCACGAAGACTGTGGAAACTGCTCCTTGCTCCTCCAGTCATGCCCTAATTTGTGACATTTCTAACGGTCACGAGGGCTTAACTGTCGCTTCTAAACGTGGAGAACCCTGAAGGAAGTTCACGTTGGGACTTTGTCTTCGTTTACCTGCTACTTAATAGGAAATGTGATACTTCTAACGGGCCAGATAATCAAGTAGAAAACATATAGTACCTCCTATCGATGGATATCTCTAAATAGGTTAATACTAAATTTAGATTTTAAAATATTCTTTTCAAATCCACTAGAACATTATCTCAATTTAATAATAACACCTTATCTCAGCTTATTGCTTTCTTTTTTACAAATAGTTATATAAATGTTTGTATTTTCCTATTAGATGGCATAGTCAGTTATTCGATGCCTCAAGGAGACAAAAGAGGTCCTGCCTGGGAATTCTTCGATGCCACATATGATGGCCACTGGGACTCGGAACTCCAGAGAGGTCTCGGTCAGTTGACGGATGGTAAAGTAGGACCAGAGAACTTCAAGATGGGATACGACTATGGCAAAGGTAGGTGATCTATTATATCATTATTGAATAACATATTATTATTTGGAAACAACGATTATATTACTTCATACTTTTAATTAATCATTCAAATATATATTAACCAGGATACTTGGATCTTGGTCGCGTAAAGAACGCGTCTGAATATGCTCCTTTATTGATTTTTAAAAGGATCAGCTTTCGTATACCTTGATAATATTTCTTTGATTATTAGATTACTTTGATTCAGTTTTTATATTTATATATTTGATTGGCAAATTCAAAAGTTCTTCTACATACAGCATAGGTAATAACGATTTATGTAATTATGTTTTGGATATAAATATATATATATCAATATTAAATATCTTAATTGGAATTATTGTAATTTGATATATAGCCAAACTTCAACTGTTTACTTAAACATTTTTTTTTTTTTTTGACCAGTGTTTGATCTCTATGATTTGGTAAAAGCCAAATATTATCCATAGATCTTAAAATTAATTTTGGCTTCGTTCAACTATAGTATGGTGGACGGTGCAAATTGGGTAATTTAATATTCACTGATATTAAGTATTTAAAATATATTATTTATTAACCAAATAAGAAATAATGAATAAAAAATTGTGAAATTTGTTGTAATTAATATAAATGAAAATAAAAATATAAATGAAAGAAAAAATTTGTATTGTTGTGATAATATTGTAGTTTAGGACAAAAATTTGAACTGATGATTTGTTCTAAAATGGATAAAAAGAAAGACTTTTGTTTGAAATTTAGTGGTACGGGTACATCTAAAAGTACTGTCAGGCATTTCATCTCTTCCATCCTTCATCCACCACGTTGTTATTTTTTTAGCATATTCTGACATTTCACAAATGTCTAGAATATTGCTACTGTTTAATTTCTGTAGTTTGAAGCTTTTTGAAACTATACAGAAAATGTCGTTTCAAATGGAGGCTAATAAATTAGTGGTGAGGCCTGAGGAAATATCGTTCCTTTTTTTATTTATTTTTTTATTTGGGACTTGTTCTCTGAACACTGTTTCACGCTAACCCCGAACTTAAACGTGTTATGAAATATCAGATTAATTTCCATCGTGTTTTTATATTGCAAATCTCAAACTTTATTCACTTATAGTGTTATTAGACAAAATTATATGCTTTAAAAGATTATGAAATCGAACTTCAGTTACTCCCAAACCTCAGATGTAATAAAATAAATTCATCCCGCGGTCATAACACATGGGCCACCCCAACCCTTAATTTGAATAGTCGGTCAAGACTCTCATATGGGCGATGTAAATAGCCCAAGGGTGGCTCAACATCTGCCCTAACTAAGAGCTCTAGGCTAGGGCACATCTGTTCTACCCTAGAGCACTTCTATTGATCTATTTAATGTAATGTCCCCCAGGAATTCGTAGCTTCATCATGATAAGTTATATTTTTATTATAATTTTTCAATTTTAAACTATAAATTTTCCAGTCGGATCTTGTGATAAAGAAGCATAGATAGATAGGAAAAGAAACCCAAGATCACATCACTTCATGACATCCAATCGCATACTGAAATAAAGATGAAATAACAGAGCTGAGCAAAGTTATAAAGAAATAGCTGATAAAAAACAAAAATGAAAAACATGTAATTACCTCCATAAATACAAAAACATGCTACAAATAATAATACGAAAAAAATATTAAATACAAAAGAAGAAATGACCATGTCAAAGGAAGGATATCGTCAAAAATATCTAATCATACAAATTAGCTATATTTATTTATTATTTAAATATCAATAAAACTATGAAGTATAAATTTTTCTTCTAGCACACCTTTTATGATAACAATATTATAACAGCATATTATAAACCAGCATTAAAGAATCATTAAAAACTAAACGTAAATATATAGTAAATGTTCATTATAGAAATGTTTATTTAATTGTGTAAATGTTTTTGAAATAATATATAAACTCATAATTGGTGTGAAATAAAAGTTAATAACCTCTAGCAACATCTACATTTTGATCATGTACATTTTATATACTGTAATATATTTTTATAGGCATGTTGATATAATAATAAGTATTAACATAATTCTTTTTTTTTTTTTATTAATTTAGAATTTCTTTTTATTTATTAAATGATTTTTACATCCATTTAGCTTTTTTTAATTTATATTTTCCCTATATGAACATCATTAGTATATACAATGATTTACTGTCCCTTGATTCGCTTTATTCGTTCATCATAAAAAAATCAGTAATAATGCTACTTGGTCTGTTAAGAAACAGGCTAAAGTTTACCTCCAAAACAGGAATCCCTAAATAAAATTTTCTTCCCAGACTAATAACATTAATGGAGCTAAACTAAATAGACTTATCGTTTACTAAAAGAGATTGCCCTGAGGTTGGTTAGATTTAATAGCCACCCTTTTTTGAACGCGTCTGGCGGCATTTCCTTTGATCTCAGCCAAATTTGACTTCGAAAGACTGGAATATTTTAAACTTTATTTCCCAATTTATTTTCGGTGTTAATATATTATCATTTATGTTATCAATAAAATAACATAGTCATTATTAAATTTAAAAACAATTGTAATTATTACTTAAATTTGTTATTTCGTAGCCTTGGTTTTGAAAAACTAAAAACATTGAGTTTTCACTCAGAAATCACTTACAACAAAGTTACCTATGTTCCAAATTAATTTTATAGTCATCAGTTTAAAAATAAATAAACCAGCAGTATGACATGGTTTTAGCTACAGTCAACATTTGAAAGTTGTTTTTTTTATTTTTACTTTGATATTGTTTCTGTAAAAAACATATTTCGGTATTTTTTCTTGTTTTTCCTTTAATTATAACTACTTAGGCAATGATTTAACAGTAGCTTATTGCTCCTGAAATGAAGAACCTTTATTCCATTTAACTTAAAAAGTCATCAACTAATACAAAATCAAGTAATAAAATATTCACGATACAGTATATTGTAACTTCGAAGCTCTGTTTCCCAAAATTACTGTAAATGCAGTTAGAACCTTATCAAACCCAAGCCACTTACACTTATTACAAATGTAATAGAGAAAAAATAATTTTTTTCTAACTTTTTTTCTACTACAGATGATTTTGTTTTTTGCTAATCTAATGAAACTATTCCATCCTAAGCTAGTTCATCACCGCGTTTCATTTGTCGTCCAACATTCAATAAAATCGTTTTAAATATATAAACATTAACAATATTACTTCAAATAAAAATAAAAATTAGTTCACAGTATTGTATATTATAATGTTATGTTATGTATAGAAATGAAGAATTGTCTTTTATAAATATCGCGGGAAAAAATTTCATTAAATATTACATTTAATCTAAATTTTTAGAAAAAATAAATCAAATCTGAAATAGAAATATCACTTAATTTTATTTTCAGGCGCTGGATGGGTTGGTTGGAGAAACGATACCAGAGCCAACCAACCGATTGAGATTAAGTTTGAATTCGACAAAGTTAGAGAATTCAACTCCGTTCATCTCTACTGCAATAACGAGTTCACCAAGGATATACAGGTCTGATTTTATTTTTTGTATTATTCTACTTTAATTTTATTATATATACTAATCATTATATATACTTTAAATTTATTATATATACTAACCATTATATATGCTTTAATTTTATTATATATACTAATCATTATATATACTTTAAATTTATTATATATACTAATCATTCAATGCAAAAATTGGATGTTATATCAGTGATACATATGACATGACTTTGATATGACTTTTAAAATCATTTTTGTAAATAAAAAAAAAAAAAACTGTTTTTATTATAAATGGACGCGTATTCTTAAAATTCATAAAAATACAAGCTTCATTGCTTAAAATTATTAATATTATTTTAATCCCTCAATTTCCAGGAGAATTTTTATTTTTATGTGGATCTGTCCCTAAGCTATGATAAATTGCATAAGAATTAATTTAAAGCTTGTTTTTAGTATCACAAAATATAAATGAAGACGTTTTTAAATTATTTAAAAATATTTTTACATGAAATATTTCAAATTAATTCGAACTAAACTAACTTGATTCCCTCTATCAAATACAATCACATTTAAAACCTCTTGTGATTAAAAATCTTTTAAGTTTTTTTTTTCGAAATTTTCAATAGGATATAAAAAGGACATTGCGAAATTTTTCGATTAAAATTGTAATATTATGGAACATTTATTAGTATCTAGCTGCGAGGGAAATATTCAGTTTTAAGACTTTTTATTTTTATCAAAACCAAAGTTCTTGTCATCATGAAGCTTTTGCTAAAATCGAATTTCAAGTTTGAAAACACTTCTATATTTTATTATGAGAAAATATGGTATTTAAAGTTTCATCATTCGTTTTTAGACCTGAACTTCGGGAAGTTAAGAGCTACTACACTCTTTGAAAATGTTTAAAAAACAGTAAATAGCCTTGTATTGGAAACTGAGGGGACTTTAATGTATGCTAAAAACTGGAGGGTTTTGTATTCAACGGAGGAACATGGTCCCACGGCTTGGCGAATATAAAACGAAACGTTGCTAACGATAAAACGTCTTTTATAAGACACTAGAGGGTAAATTAAGTTTTCCTTATTCTAAATTCTATTTCGCTGGCGAAATGATGGGATTTGTATAGTTGTTGAAGCCTTTTGAAAATTCGAATATACTTTAGTTAAGGGTAGTGGTTGAACAATATGAAACATCTTTGAGTCTTCTATTTAGAATATATTTATTATATTGCGGATCGCAACGTGAAATTAAAAACCAGAGACAAAAAATGAGAGGAAAAAATAATGAGAAGTTTTCACGTTGAATTATATGAAAACCTAACCCTCTGGTGCTCCTCTAACATTACATTTTTATTAACAAATACAATATTTATCAACAATATAATTTTTTTTAAAATATAAATCCATGTAACAATATCAATTTAATTTCATTTCTGAATATTAGTGCAAGAAGGTTTAAAAAGTAAAGCCTTGAAACTTACTCGTTGTTAATAATTAGAAGTGGTCTTTCAAACGTGGTTTAAGTTAAATAAAATAAAGAAAACTTTCTTATATCATTTGATATTAATTTTAGCTATTTATTCTTGTCAGAAAAAAAAAATTATTTTTGTTAACTTCACCCAGCATGATCACTATCTTAAACTCAGTTATTACTGGTTTCAAAATTCGTAAACTTTTTTTTATTATAGTTTACTAACTTGCTCAATTTTCTTTTAGCTATCATGCTATAGCCAATTTGCTCCTTATGGTTTTCATATTAATTAATTTCATGTTAATTTCATTTATTAACATCATTTGATATTAATTTTAGCTATTTATTCTTGTCAGAAAAAAAAAATTATTTTTGTTAACTTCACCTTACATGATCGCCACCTTAATCTCAGTTATTACTGGTTTCAAAATTGGTGTGCTTTTTTCATTGCAGTTTACTAACTTGCTAAATTTTGTTTTAGCTATCATGCTGTATCCAATTTTCTCCTTTTGGTTTTCAACGTAGGACAATCTTGTGGAATGTGTTTGATTTTTCTCACAGGTTGAATGAAGGTTTAACTTCTCTTAATAAATTGGCATTTGAAAACTCACAACGTTCAATTCTTAATCAGCAGATGGCAATTTCTTAATTAATTATAGTTTAATATAATTTAAATTATTATTGTAATAATGAGATACAATCATTTGAATATGATACTACAGGTGATTTATAATGTAGTAATGTAATTATAATAATGATATAAATCAGTTAAAAATCCACCAAGAGACAGGACATAAATATTAGGTTATAAATGGAAAAATTCCAATCACTCAGTCATATGTCTAAATTGCAGAGAAACAAAAGAAACGGTCAACGTTTCGCCAATTCAGGCATCATCAGAACAGAAGGGAGTATTACTCTATGATACCCAATCGCATACTTCTTTTTGAAAATTTATGTCTGCGATTGGCTGCCATGATGTTCCATTTACTGTTCTCTTCTGTCCTGACGATAACCGAATTGGTAAAACGTCGACAGGTTTTTTTTTTCTTGCATTTTGGAGATATAATGTGGAGATATAAGACTATGTGGTTGAATTTTGTCCAGTTATGAGCTAACATCAAATTATATATGTACTTAGATCAGAAGTGCCTATCCTCTCTCTTCAAAGGCGGTGGTATATGCCCTCCTCTTCTTACGAAATGATACTACTTTTTCTTAAAAACTGTACAACCGAAAGTAAAATTATTAAAATTGTAGTCTGTATGCAAATATGCTTACTCTGGTCTGTTTCAAGTTTTCTTCCCTTGTTTTCTGATTTCATATGGTTCCTTAAAAAAATTCACGACCTCGTAAAAATTTGTCCTCTCCCTTCTCAAAAATATTGATGGCACAATGGGCATTTTTTCTCGATAATTATTGTTTGTCTTACTCGTTGATGTTTTCATTATTCCTATAAGGCAAACAATGAAAGCGGATGATATCAATATTACCTTGTTTCGGGCGCCAAATTTTGACAATTCAAGTTGTGATGTCCTTGAAAACGCAGAACTGTGAGCTAAGGGCCTTTGACTACCTAATTGCCGAGAGGCTAATAGAGTTTAAAATAGCTGACTACACGAACCCTAACCTCCTTACCGTCGTCAATTTGCGTCACCGCTAACCGGTTAGTCCCTCTATAACCAATTAGCTAGGCCTAACTAAACCCAGTTAGGCCGAGGGTGGGCTTTAAGAAATTCATTTTTCCTCCCTCGCTGGAGAAGCTCTAGGGCCTGAAGAAGAGCACCCTTGAATAAATTAGTATTGCTCATTTGACTGGAGGGAGATAGGGCAGGCCCCTCATTATTGTGTGAGCACGGAAGGCACACACGGCTAGTGTTCCGGCAAATATAGTCAACTCTAAGGGATGATAACATGGCTCTATGGCAGAGGGGGAAAAAATTCGATCCCTTGATAAGTTTGTAGTCGCAAGCCTTTAAGGAGGCCAGGTAATTGGAAAACTTTCGGATAGCTATGGCCTTATTTGCATTGGAAAATTTCATTAACATCAGCCTTTAATTTTTATTTTAAACTTTTCAAAGGATCTTATCTTACTTTTTTTCCTATCATGATCTGCTCAAAGTTTCATTTCAGTGTTGAAAGGAATATAAAGTTAGAGTTATATCGCTACTGTTAGTGAAAAAGATCTTATGTAAAAATTGATTTTTTTTTACAAAAGAACACAATAACTGATTATTTCTTTATGATCCATTATCAAACTATTTATTGTTGTAGATTATAAAATATCACATTTAGGAAAAATAAAATTAACACCGAAAATTGTTACTTACGATTTTTTGCACTAACAGTAGCGATATAAAGGGGACAGTAATGTTATCGTTATTATTTTATCTGCAACTGCACAGTAGCGCTTGATTTATTGATTACGCACTTACAAATTTAATGTTAAATGACTAGTTTTTGTAGTTTTTTCTTGATAATGGTCTTGAATTATAATAGCTTTATTGAGTTATTTGTGAAGAAGCAGATCTCTGGGCCATTTTTTTTTTTTATGTGCATTAAGCAAGAAGGAGAAGATTGAGTGGATTGAAGTGATTTTGTGTTTATGAGTGAAATGGTGTGTAAGCAATATTTGACTGTTGGAATGTTTAAGTCGTTGTGTGTAGTGATTTGAAATATATCACGGAGCGTTAACAATTTTTCGAAGAATTTTGGATTATGTTCTTTGTATTTCGTTTATGTCTGTGTTGCTGAATTTTTAAGTTCTGCACCGTTTACTTGATCTCCGGATAGTGTTGTATATTAGTCGCTTGATTCGTAGGTTAAGCGAGGACCCGTAGTTCAGAATATGTGAGATTTGATTATATTGTGGGTGGGGAGGGTGGTGTTTGTTTCCTTATCACTTTTTAGGAGATAGTTTTGAATTTTTGATTTATTCATCTATACTTTGCTATTTTCTTGTTTATAAATGTGGAGAATTTATTTTGGGTTTCTTTAATTATTTAAAAAAGATGCTGATCCCAAAACCTGAGTGTCTATTAATGGTGTAATATACGCTGTCTGAATTCCCTGCGTTTTTCATGAATAATAAACTAATTGACTGTAAGAAAAAAACAAAATTGGTAAGAGACTAAATATGCTTTCAATTAAACCCATTCGCATATATCTACCGTCAGAACTAAAGTTGTGATTCATATTAATGTTAGAAAATTTTTTTAAAGTGTATATTACCGGTACACTTACCTTATAATCTCTTATTATCAATGTTTATTTCTTGCTTATACATGAAGGAGTATGGTTCTTAACAGAGGAATATTCCCTATCGCAATGTATTCAGGTCCACAGGCATTAAATTGCTCACTACCCGTGTAGCTAGTTGATTACTCCCTTTTTAATCACGATCCGATGGATCTGGTCCCTTCGGCGTTGTCGGTGTCAACAGGGCAAAAGGTTAGGAGGCTGATCGAATTATATGTCGACTGGGCAGTGGACCAAAAGTGGATAATTGGCAGTTGTCGAGGAAATGGCTCACCAGGACTCGCAAGGTGG